CCGCCCCTCTGAGATGCGGCACGCCCGTGGGCAGCGCGGCCAGCGCAGCCCGGGCGGCGTAGCGAGAACCGCCCCTGGGCTTCTGCGAGGAGGCCGTCGAGGAGGGCGCCGCCCTCTTCGGCATCGGCGACGATGGTGAGGTGCTGGCGTTCTTCGGGCGGAGGTGCGCCGGAGAGCCTGAGGACAGCGAGGAGAGCAGGAGGAGGGCGCGCCCCGAGCGTCGAGCGAGGCCCAGAGTCACGGCGGGCTGGCCGCAGTGGCACCGAGTCCACTATCGCACGAGTGTGATGTTGGTGGTCTGGCGTGTATTGTATGGCTCTCGACGTTGGCGAGGATCTTGGGCCACTCCAGGAAGTAGTCCCTGCTGGGGTCCTCCCGCAGGAGGGCCAGTCGAAACGGCGGCCCCAGAGGCAGTGGCCAAATACGCCGCGTCCAGGCGCACCCTCGTGGCGGAACGCCAGCGCCCCCGCTGGCCAGACCTGGACGTAGGGTGCAGGTGACTTCAATCAAGGGCAAGCCGTCCGCCTCTGCTGGTCCGACGTCGTGGCTGGCGTCGGGCAACGAAGGCTGCCCGGGCTGACGGATCGGCCGAGGGACATCGTGGCCGCAAGCGTGCGCTTCCGCGTGCGTTTTGCCATCCAAAAGAAACGTGCCATCAATGATTGTTGTGCTGCTCGCAAGCGTTGTCACGCTCAAAAGCGTTGCAGTGCGCAGGGTCCGTGCGACAGCTGTGCGTTGCGCTGCGACCGCACCTGGCCAGGAGACTGGTGCGTGCGCGTGCTCCGCACCTTGCTGTGAGGCTGAGGCGAACGCGCGCGCTGCGGCGGCGCTGGGTGCACGCGTTTCCTGTTTCGCCTGCAATCAACGACACAAACAACGAAGGATTGCAAAAACGAAGGATTGCAAAAAAACGAAGGATTGCAACAAAAACGAAGGATTGCAAAAAAACAAAGGTTTTTTTGCAATCCTTCGTTTTTTTGCAATCCTTCATTCTCCTCCTCCTCACGCCCATCCCCTCTTCGATTGCGAAGGCCTTGCGGCCCGTGCCCCCGACCCTGAAAGGGGGACGTCGACGACGGCGGCGGTGGCGGCGGCGACGATGACGACGCTGCCGCGGGCCCGAGTCCTCAGGGATGCTTCTTGGGGTCTCTTGGGGAGGCTCTCGGGGGCCTCTGGGGGGGAATTTTGGGGTCTCTTGGGAGCCCCTTGGGGGGCCTCCTGGAGGCCGTCTCGGGCGTCCTGGGAGCATCTGATGGACTGCTTGGGGGCTCTCAGGAGCCTCTTGGGGCCTCCTGGGAGCTTCCCGGGGCCGTGGGCTCGAAATGTCCGTTCGGGTTCCCCCGTGAAGGCACGCCCTTGCCGTCTTGGAGGGTTTTGGGGGCTGTCTTGGGGCCCTCTCGTTGTGATTTTTGGAGCGCTCTTGGAAGCCTCTTGGGGCGATCTTGAGGGCCTCTTCAGCCGTCTCGGAGCGGCGGGAAGCGGAAAAGGCGAGAAAACTCCCAACTCTGTCAACAACCTCAGGCAACTCAACGATTTTTGCCGCTTGGAGCCCTCTCGGGAGTGCCTTTGGAGGTCTCTGGGGGCGTCTTGGAGGTCTCCTGGGTCTGGGAGCGTGCCGGCGTTTTGGACCGATCGTTTGGCGATTGGGGGCCCTTTTGGACCGTCTGGGAGGCCTCTTTGGCTCTTTGGGCACTCTTGGCTTGTTTGGGTATTTGTTGGAGCCCAAGGAGCCCCAGGGGGGGATGGGTATCTGACCCCCCCCCCGGGATCCCTCCCCCCCGACGGGGGAGGAGGGATCAAAGGGAAGGGGCCTCCCTTCGATTCGATTACGACATTGCGAGGCTTCTCTCTCGCTGACAGCCTTGAGGAGGGTGCAGAGAAAGGGGACGACGCAGACGACGACTGACGGAGACGACGACTCGAACAGACAAACCCCTCGCACACGCCGACAAGGTCGTCGGATATTCACATGTCACCTCCCTTCCCCAAGGCTTGGTCGATGGCATGTGAGGTAGAGGGGGGGGCGGATGAGTAGGCGGAGGAGGAGGCTGAGGAGGAGGAGGAGGACGAGGAGGATGACGAGGAGCAGGAGGAGGAGGAGTATGACCCACCACGCATGTGTTCCGTTTCCTTCCGCGCTTCTTCTCCTCCGCCTCCTCTCCCCCTCGCCCGCCCCTCGCCGACCCTGTCAAAATGCGTCTGCCTCTCAAGGGACATGCGCGCCCCCTCGCACGCAGGACAGGGCCTCCCGGGACCTGCGTCAGACCAAGAAGGACCCCCTTTCCGCGCCGCCTTGTGTTCACTCCTGGCAGGCGTATCTGCCCAAGTGGGTGCGCGGATAAAAGAAGCAAGGAGCAAGAGGGCAGTAAAATACTGTGATCTGAGAGATGGTGAGAAGGGGAAGAGGGGGGAGGATGGGGGAACGACTAGGGGATGCCAGACAGGACGATCTTGTCTGGGTTGCCGAAGACGCCAAGGGCGAGTCACCGACGCCTCCTGCTTTTTGGAAACGCGTGTGCGTCGACGCGACAATTCGGCCACGTTGGTGTTGAATATTGTAGTGGCCTTCGGCCAGTGCCGCCGATCCGGGTCGCTCGGGGTTATTCTCCAGACGCAGAAATTATGGGCGCACACTCAAACGCACACACACAGTCACACCACTTAACCTGCGCCGCAGACATGCGCACACAGCATCACCCACACACACATACTAGTTGGGAAACGCTCCTGTAGTACTAGTAGTAGTATTAGTAGTAGTAGTAGTAGTAGTAGTAGCAGTAGTAGTAGTAGTAGTAGTAGTAGTAGTAGTAGTAGTAGTAGTAGTAGTAGTGGTTGTGGTAGTAGTGGTAGTAGTAGTAGAGGCCTCGTTCCGCGGCTTCTCTCGACTTCCCGCGGTCTCTCTCAAGTTTCGAGCACGCGGTGAGTTTCACGATATATGTGTGTGTATGTACGCGTGCATGCATGTATGCATGCATTGATCATGTGTGCCTGTGTGTAGGTACGTATGTATGTATGTATGCTTGTGCGCGTATGTATGTATTTAGTTTGTATGTATGTTTGTATGTGTGTATGATAATATGTGTGTATGTGTGTGAATGTAAGTATGTATGTCTGGAAGATTGTTTTTCTATGTATGCAAATGTGTTTAAATGTAGGTATGTATGCATGTGTGTATGGATGTGCGTTTGAAGAGCGAGGATGTTTCAAAGAAGAGGCACTCGGTGACGCGATCGTTGAGGGATAGGAGTGAGGTCGCAGAGGAGGAGGAGGAGAATGAGGAAGAGGCGATAACTTGAAGGAAAACGATGAGACGGAGGACATCCTGCCGGTGGCGCCCTGGGCGGTGCCGCGGAAGAAACCGGGGGCCTGCCGGAGGCAGTCTGGAGGCCTCTGGGGAGCTGTTTTGGGGCCTCTTGGAACCTCTTTTGGGCCTCTTGTGGGCTTCTTGGGGCCCCTTGGGGGTCTCTTGGGGCCTCCTGGGGGCCTCTTGGGGCGGAAAGCTCGGTTCTTTCGGTTCGTGGTCCCCCTCTTGGGCCCCTCTTGGGGCTCTCTTGGGGCCTTCTTGGGCTGTCCAGAGGCCCTCTTGGGCCGTCTTGGGGCCCTCTTGGGCCGTCTTGGGGCTCTCTTGGGCCGTGTTGGAAGCATCGTGGGCCGTCTTGGGACGGACTTGGGGGCCTCTTGGGCCGTCTTCGAGCGTCGGACGCCCGAAAAGGCAAGAACGCTAAAAACCCTGAGAAAACCAATGAAAATCAACGATTCTGGCCTCTTGGGGCCCTCTTGGGAGGCCTCTTGGAAGCTTCTTGGGGCGTCTTGGAGACACCTTGGGCCGTCTGGAGGCCATCTCGGGCGTCTTGGAGCGATTTTTCGGCGACTCGGGGCCCTCTTGGAACCCCTTGGGGGTCTCTTGGGCCCCCCCCCTCCTCCAAAGCGCCGGAAAAAGCGGAGCATGGCGCCCCCCCCCCCCCTATCTTCCACTCCCCCGGAGCGGCCCCGGGGTTCGCCGGAAACTCGCACCCCCCCCCCCCCCCCCACCCCCCCTTCCCCGGCAGAGCCACCCCGGCGACCCCCCCAGAGGCTGAAGCTCAGCCTCGAGGCTGTAGCTGAGACTCCTTGAAACTCACACGCCGGATCGGCGGATTTTCTGGCCTGCGAATGCCTCCCACCATGGAACCGTCATACATACACAATACCTATACGACCACCCTTCGGGTGATAAGGAGGTTGTGGGGGGGGGAGAGGGGGGAACCGACATCTGACTCAATCGATCTCACTATCGATCTTACTCAACGGGACACCACGGGACACCACGGGACACCACGAGACACAACGGGACATTTGTCGATCTCACTATCGATCTCACTATCGATCTCACTCAACGGGACACCACGGGACACCACGGGACACCGCGGGACACCTCTCGATCTCACTATCGGTCTCACGATCGATCTCACTATCGATCTCACTCAGCGGGGCACCATATGACACCACGGGACACCTCGGGACACCACATCGATCTCACTATCGATCTCACGATCGATCTCACGATCGATCTAACTCAACGGGCCACCACGGGACACCACGGGACACCTGTCGATCTCACTATCGATCTCACTATCGATCTCACTCAGCGGGACACCACGGGACACCACGGGACACCTCGGGACACCTCGGGACACCTCATCGATCTCAGTATCGATCTCACTATCGATTTCACTCAACGGGACACCACGGGACACCACGGGACACTTGTCGATCTCAGTATCGCTCTCACTATAGGTCTCATTCAGCGGGCCACCACGGGACACCGCGGGAGACCTCTCGATCTCAGTATCGGTCTCACTATCGATCTCATTATCGATCTCAATCAGCGGGACACCATAGGACACCACGGGACACCTCGGGACACCACATCGATCTGACGATCGATCTCACTCAACGAGACACCTCGGGACACCACGGGAGACTTGTCGATCTCAGTATCGATCTCACAATCGATCTCACTCAACGGGCCACCACGGGACACCACGGGACACCACGGGACACCGCGGGACACCTCTCGATCTCACTATCGGTCTCACGATCGATCTCACTATCGATCTCAATCAGCGGGACACCACATGGCACCACGGGACACCTCGGGACACCACATCGATCTCACTATCGATCTCACGATCGACCTCACTCAGCGGGACACCACGGGACACCTCGGGACACCTGTCGATCTCACTATCGATCGCATTATGGATCTTACTCAGCGGGACACCACGGGCCACCACGGGACACCACGGGACACCTTGGGACACCACATCGATCGCAGTATCGATCTCATTATCGATCTCACTCAGCGGGGCACCACGGGACACCACGGGACACTTGTTGATCTCACGATCGATCCCACGATCGCTCTCACTCAACGGGCCACCACGAGACAACACGGGCCACCACGGGCCACCACGGGACACCGCGGGCCACCTCTCGATCTCACTATCGGTCTCACGATCGATCTCACTATCGATCTCAATCAGCGGGACACCACAGGACACCACGGGACACCTCGGGACACCACATCGATCTCACTATCGGTGCCACGATCGATCCCACGATCGCTCTCACTCAACGGGCCACCACGAGACCACCACGGGACACCACGGGACACCACGGGACACCACGGGACACCGCGGGACACCTCTCGATCTCACTATCGGTCTCACGATCGATCTCACTATCGATCTCAATCAGCGGGACACCACAGGACACCACGGGCCACCTCGGGAAACCACATCGATCTCACTATCGATCTCACGATCGATCTCACAGTCGATCTCACTCAACGGGACACCACGGGACACCACGGGGCACCACGGGACATTTGTCGATCTCATTATCGATCTCACGATCGATCCCACTTAACGGGACACCACGGGACACCACGGGCCACCACGGGACACCACGGGACACCGCGGGAGACCTCTCGATCTCAGTATCGGTCTCACTATCGATCTCACTATCGATCTCGATCAGCGGGACACCACAGGACACCACGGGACACCTCGGGACGCCACATCGATCTCACTACCGATCTCACGATCGATCTCATTATCGGTCTCACTCAGCGGGACACCACGGGACACCACGGGACACTTGTCGATCTCAGTATCGATCTCACTATCGATCTCACTCAACGGGACACCGCGGGCCACCACGGGCCACCACGGGACACCACGGGACACCGTTGGACACCTCTCGATCTCAATATTGGTCTTTTATCGATCTCACTTTCGATCTCAATCAGCGGGACACCACATGACACCATGGGACACCTCGGGACACCACATCGATCTCATTATCGATCCCACGATCGATCTCTTTATCGATCTCACTCAACGGGACACCACAGGACACCACATGACACCACGGGACACTTGTCGATCTCACTATCGATCTCATTATCGATCTCACTCAACGGGACCGCGGGACACCTCTCGATCTCAGTATCGGTCTCACTATCGATCTCACTATCGATCTCAATCAGCGGGACACCACAGGACACCACGGGACACCTCGGGAAACCACATCGATCCCACTATCGATCTCACGGCCGATCTCACTATCGATCTCACTCAACGGGACACCACGGGACACCATGGGACACCACGGGACACTTGTCGATCTCACTATCGATCTTACTATCGATCTCACTCAACGGGACACCACAGGACACCACGGACCACCACGGGACACCACGGGACACCACAGGACACCGCGGGACACCTCTCGATCTCAATATTGGTCTCACTATCGATCTCACTATCGATCTCAATCAGCGGGACACCACAAGACACCACGGGACACCTCGGGACACCACATCGATCTCACTATCGACCTCACGATCGATCTCACTATCGATCTCACTCAACGGGACACCACGGGTCACCACGGGACACCACGGGACACCAGCTGGACACCGGAGGGACACCGCGGGGCACCGGCCGCCGGAGGCGTTACATTTGGCCCAGCCGCGGCCCAGCCACAGGAGGATTTCGGGACACCCGCAGGTCACCAGCGGGACACCGCGGGCCGCGTGGGGTCCATAATGCCGATAGCGATTGTTCCCGCTGGCGATGTGAGCAGTGACCGCGCCGTGCAGCCAATGCAACACAGTCCCCAACACAAGGGGCGCCAATTCGTGATACTCCTTGCGTGACTGCTGTCTTGCTGGTGTCTTTCCCAACCATTCTGTGGTGTTGGGTCCTTGTTTTGAGGAGACAGCGCCCCGTGTTCCTCACCTCCTCCTCCCCCTCCTATCTCCTCTGCCTCTGCTGTCCGCGTGCCAACCAGTTCGGCACACCCCTCACAGGTTTCGTGGCCCTACAGAGAGCTCACTCGAAGGCCCCAGTGGCACAGTCCGCACAGCGTAGCCGCACCCGATTCGGCACACCCCTCACACGTTTCGTGGCCCCGTAGGGAGTTCCAGCGAAGGCCCCAGTGGCACAGTCCGCATGGCATACCGGCACCCGACTCGGCAAACCTTTCACATTTCGTAGCCCCACACGGAGCTCCGCCGAATCCCCAGCGACACAGTCCGCATAGCGCACCCGCACCCGATTCGGCACACCCTTCACACACTTCGTGGCCCCATTCACTGGAGGCCCCAGTGGCACAGTCCACATGGCGCACCCGCACCCGATTCGGCACACCCACCACACGTTTCGTGACCCCAACGAGTGATCCGCCGAAGGACCCGGACCCAGCGGCACAGTCCGCATGGCGTACCCGCGCCGAGTCGGCACACCCCTCGCATGCTCTTCGTGGCTCTCTTGGAAGCTCCGACGAAGGCCCCGCACCCGATTCGGCACACCCCAACACACGCTTTGGGGCCCCGTAGGCAGCTCCACCGAATGCCCCAGTTGCACGGTCCGCATGGGGGGGGCAGCCGCACCCGATTCAGCACTCTCCTCACACGATTCGTAGCCCTGTAGGGAGCTCACCCGAAGGCCCCAGCGGCACAGTCCGCATGGCGTACCCGCGCCCGATTCGTTTCGTGGCCCTACAGGGAGCTCCAGCGAAGGCCATAGTGGCACAGCCCGCATGGCGTAGCCGCACCCGATTCGGCAAACCCCTCACAGGTTTCGTGGCCCCAAAGAGTCCTCTTCCGAAGGCCCCGGCTGCACCGTCCGCATGGCGTACCAGCACCGGATTCGGCACGTTTCGTGGCCACATCGGGGGCTCATTTTGGCCGTCTTCACTGCTTGCGCCTCTTGGGGCTCGCTCTGGAACAAGAACAGGCCGATCACGATCGCCCTTCGTTCACATGGGGTTCTTGGCTTTACCTCTTGTGCTGGGCCTTGTCCACCACGCCCTTGAGAATGGCGCGCGGTTTGTGCCAAATCTGCCGGCGGCTCGTTGGAACGCTCGCACCCTCTGGGCAACATCGTCAGTGTGCCCGTGCTGCCCAGGCGCCGCTCTGCGTCACACTTCCTCCTACTCCCCCCCTCTTCTCTGCTCCGTATCCATTCTGGCTCAGGCCATGTTGGATCAAGGGCGCGACCGGCGGGCACCGGCGACCCTTGCACTCCGTCATCGTATTGCGCACGTCCGTGCCATAGCACAAGAGAGAGAGTGAGGGAGAGAGAGAGAGAGAGAGAGAGAGAGAGAGAACGCACCACATGCTCGCCCTGATCGCCGCCTCGCTGACGGCGCGCGCGGCGGGGGCGGCCGTCGCGGCAGCAGCCGGGCTGTGGGAGCGGCCAGCGGGTGACGATCCCGCCTCCCCCCCCTTGCCGCGGGCTCCTACCCGCGTGGGCTCGCGAAGCAGGAGGCGGGGCAGGTGGGGTGCTTGGCGTCGTCGCTGAGCAAGCAGCAAGCGAAGAAAGGATTCGAGGTCGACCCTGAGAGCTGGGTGGAGAGGCAGATGAAGCCGGGCTCCAGGCTGATCGCGGTCGGCGACTCGGTCGTCGGGCAGATGCACTCGCTCGGAAAGCCCGGCTTCAGCTGCAGCGACGCGCGCCCGTGCCGGGGCACCGCTCCCTTCGAGGTCGGCGTCAACGTTTCCTGGCAGGTCGAGTTGGACAAGACAGACGAGAGGTACGTGGGCAAGGGTTGGCAGCACCTCAGGCGGTACTGGGTGCGCTCCGCCCAGGGCGAGATGTCGCAGGTGCAAGGCTGGGTGGTGGCCCCTTCCGTAAGCGGACACTCCGCGGGAGCGCAGGAGGCCGTGGCCTTGCTGCAGCGGTTTCTGCAGGACGACCTGAAGGTGACGGCGGACGACGTGATGGTGATCGGACTGCTCGGGAACCATTTCAACAGTGGGGAGCTCCCAGCCTTTGAGCGGTACGCAGAGCTGCTGATGAGGGACGTGGTCACGGAATTCCTGGGGCGCGTGGTGGTGCTGGGCACTTCCCCGCAGCACTTCAGGTCCAACACGGGCGCCTACGACGCCTCCCAGGGGGCGGTTGGGTGCCGACCCATTCCGTTGCCGAGCGACGCCAGCGGGGGCAACAACAAGCACAGGAGCAGCATCTGGGGCCACAGCGTGTGGCGGCACATGAAGAGCAGTCGCGCACGTGTTGTGGACCTGTACGAGATGCTCCTGCCGCCGTGGCGGTGCCATCGCTCCCCGCGGGACTGCACGCACTGGTCCGATGCAGTCATTTCAATCCAGGTCCAGCTGGTCCTCGAGGCGCTGAAGAAGATCGAGTGAGCCGTGATCTCTCTCAGCGCTTGTCGGCTCGGAGGACCAGCGTTACAGCAGGCAGAGGCCTCATTGAGTTTCACAGTAGTCAATGGCCAGCGGGTGTCGAAATCGGATCACAGGAACGAAATGCGCCGTTTGGGCGAGATTCGTGAGGGGACAGATTGAGGCGCTTCTCCCGGCTCTTGTTTTTTCCATGACCGCCAAAAAATATGTTCCTCCTCCTTTGCCGTTTCCGTTTCCTGCCCGGGACCAGGACCTGGAGAGCTCCCAGAAGGAGCTGACGGCAGCGCTCGAGTACTACGAGAAGCCTGGCGCCCCAGCTTCGGATGTCGACATTCGGGCCAACGCATAACCTAGCGAAGGGCCCACCACAATGCGAACGCGTGTAGTGTAGGGTGTGAGACTCATAGTGCAGATCGAGTTGCGGGAGGGAGAGATCGAGCTGGACTTTCGCATGTGGACGCGATCCGGGTGAGGGGTGAGTCGACGTGAGCAGGGGTCTGTATGGAAGCGACGCCATGGGTGTAGCTCCCTAATGGGCACGATCTGTGTGAGGGGCTTGCCAAGACGGACGATCGACCGCATGCGAGGTGCGAGTAGCCCCGCTGGTGCCGTAGGTTTCTCTTTCTGTGGGACGCAATCCGTATGAGGGGGGGCGAGCACCACCACGGGTGCAGTAGGTGGAACCCCCTATGGGGCACGATCCATCTGAGGGTTGTGCCGAAATGGGAGGAAGACCGAGTGCGAGCACCCCCTCAATGGGTGACGTATTTTGAGCTCCCATGGGGCACGATCCCTGTTGTGCCGAGATCGTCTGGGAACTGCATGCGAGCCCGCCTAGTGAGGCCGCTAGGTGGAGCTCCTTTGTTGCACGATCCGTGAGAGGTGCCGAACTGGGCGGGAGACCGCATGCGAACACTCCCACCGCTGCCGTAGGCTATGTGGCACGATCCGTGTGAGAGGTATGCCGAAATGGGCTTCACCCGCATGCGAGCACGCCCATCCAGGCCATCTGTTGAGGCCCCTATCAGGCAAGGGACATTGGTTCTTTCAAGTAGGAATGCGAGCAATGGTCCTGAACACCTGGGCCTTCGTGGAAACCGCCAGGACACTGGCTGAGAGATCGGCAGGGACTTATCGCCTTGTGACGTTTCCCAAGAACAAGCGAATTTTCTCAGAGGCTGGCTCCGTGAAGGGGACGCGCTGCCACCACTAACACTTGTTATGGTTTGTTGCTTGGGACTTGACGTGCCGATAGCACAATCAATCAATCATCAGTGGTTCAGTGCGCTTCTGACGACTTCATGCCTCCCCCAGCGGGGAGGGGGGGCTTCAGTTCCACACGAATGCTGGCGCGTTCACATTCGATCGCAGGTCCGGCAGTGGACGACGAGGAGGAGGAGGCTGCTGGAGGCCAATGGCCGAATCTGAGGAAGTGAAGGACGACGAGGAGCAGGCAGAATTGATTTGAGCCGCTTCTCCACATGTTAATGATTACCCCCTCTCCGCTCCAGGAGGTGGGGAGGAGGAGTCCTCCTCCCCGCCATGCTCCCCAAACCTCCTCTCTCCCACTCCCTTCCTGAAGCCGAGAATATAACGCGCGCGTGACTTCCTCTTTTCACCCTCATCTTCTTCTCCCTCGAAGGGAGAGGGAATAATGAAGAATCAGGTATGGGATGCCTCCACTATGTCTCGGCCAAGCTCGCTCACCCAGCCCTGGCTCGATCCGCCCACAGAACTTCATGCTCGCGTGCGTAATTGTCGTAACCCGCGATAGGGCAGCAGCCATGGTGCGAACTTTAGGCTCTCGCCAGATACGTCCTGCAATCGGCAGTCAGTGCGACAACGCTTTTTGGAAGCACGGACGGTATCACTCAGTTGGGGTATTTTTCGTCGTCGTCAGATGGTAGATCTCCAGAGTCCGCCCTCCCTCTATTGCAAGCGTGCCTCGGACAGTGCCAAGTCCGCAGCGCACACTACATCCAGGGACAACGGCCATTCGCACACTGTTCGATGCGCCGCTGCCTTCTCTCCCTGCCCGAACCCCACGCCGACATTTCAGGTTCCGAAACTGTTTCAGGTCCATTGCTTGAGTAAACTCCGTCTACCTCGCGCCACAGTGGTCGGCGTGCTGTGCCAGACCCATGCCGACAGGGGCACGCCGGATGCTTGCGCTGGTGCTCCTGGATCTCGTGGCGCGCTCCTGTGCCATCCAGCAGGTGCAGGCCTCGGGCTCCGCTGACTTCGCGGTGTCGCTGCCCGCGCCGCCGAAGAAGAACGGGCCCATCAGCAAAGTCCTCGGCTGGCAGCTCACCGTGGAGAGCGACGAGACCCCTGTCACGCTTGGCAAGATTCGGGGCCACGGCTCGGTGGCCGACTGGAACCTGGCACACCCAGACCAGAGCATAGCTCCCGGCGACCAGGTGGTGGAGGTGAACGGCGTCAAGTGGAACAGCGACTCGAAGGACTTCGCGGACATCATCGCCAAGCAGTTCGTGGCGTCCAGGGAGAAGGGCGAGGGCATGTCGCTGGTGCTGCGCAGGCGCGCCGAGGGCGCCCAGGCCGCCGGCGGTGCGGAGGAGAGGGCGCAGGAGGGGGGTGCAGGGGCGGCTGCGGCGCCGGAGGACAGCCAGAAGAGCACCGCAGGGGCCGAGGAGGTCGCCCGCACCGCCATGAAGATCGAGGGCCTGGTGAGCGCGTGGAACAAGGTCCACCCGGAGGACGGCATCGACACCACCAGCAAGCACTTCAGCGACGCCCTCGCGGTGCTCATCAGGAGGGCCAGCACCTCCTCCGGCAAGCAGGACAATTGAGCAGCATGTTGCGGGTTCTCCATGTTGTAATCCTGACGCGGCCCGATGCCCCTTCTCCGCCTCTTTCTGCTTGTTGTTCTTTTCCCCCTTGTCCTGAAGTAGCTTTGGGGACATCGCACTCCTGAGTTATCCTTCCCCCCTCTCTGCTTCCTCATCCCCTCCCTTGCCCTTCCCTCTTCTCCCTTCCCTTCCGTTTCCCACGCCTTCCTCGTCTCGCCTGGCCCCGCCCGCCCGATCTTCGCCATCCATCCTTCTTTCTTCTCCGCCTATCCCCTCCGCTCCCTCCTATTCTTTAATGCACCTGCTGGAAGGCAGCAGGCTCAGTGTAGGTCGCGCGACTGTTGGGAGCACACGGCGATGAGCGGGCCGTGCGCCAGGAAGATCACCCAGACGGTCCGAGCTCTGGCGTTTCCCCTTCGCAGTGGAAAATATGTAAGCCCGCTTGATCGGCCGGCAACCTGCTGTGCGGCAGTGGTCGGGGCTCAAGGGAGGGGGTTCAGTGCAAACAGGGGTCAGGCAGGGCGCCTGATCTTGCAGGATCCTGGGGAGTGTTTTTCTATTCGTTGGAACCGTAGCGTCCGCAACGGTGGGGTCCGGCCCCCCCTTGCCCCCCCGTTACTGTAACGAACGTACGCGTAGGTGGTGCTGGCTCCCTCTCGGATGTGGCGCCATGCTTCCAGGCGTGTGTTATGGTGCTGACTGGCGGCTTTGGTGCTCGCAGCATGCTGTGCCGCTCGCAAGCAACTGGTTCGCGGTGTTGCTGCTGCTGTTGTTGCTGCTCGTGTTGCTCTCCTGCTTCTTCTCCGGTGCTCCTCCTGCTCCTCCTCCGATGCTTTTTATCGTCCAGTGATTTCCTTGCTGGTGGGAATGCTCTTAACCCTCTGGGCCATAACGCGCACAATGCGCAGAATGCCCCTCCCCCACCTCTCCACACAACGCCCCCCCCCCCCCCGTAGTGCGCCTCCGGCACTCCCAACGTGATGCTCGCAGGTAATGGGTGCTTGCAGGCTACTTAAACGTGCACAGGCTAGCGTGGCGTTGGCGGGTTCATTGCCCGTGCTTGCAGACATGGTGCTGCGCTCGCAGGCTCCTGTCGCACATGCAGGATCCGGCAGTTTTTGCTCACGCGCGCGGGGTTCACGCGGTATACTCGTCGTCGTCGTCGTCGTCGTCGTCGTCTTGTGGTCGTGGTGATCGTCGTTGCGATTGCCGTAGTCGTCGTCGTCGTCGTCGTCGTCGTCGTCGTCGTCGTCGTCGTCGTCGTCGTCGTCGTCGTCGTCGTCGTCGTCGTCGTCGTCGTCGTCACCGTCGTCGTCGTATTCGTTTTGGTCGTAGTGATAGTCGTCGTCGGCGTGTGGTCATCGTTGTGACCGTCGTCGTGACATTCGTAGTCGTCGTAGTCTTCGTACTCGTCGCGATCGTCGTCGTTGTCGTGGTGATCGTCGTCGCGGTCGTCATCATGGTCGTCATCGCGTGGTCGTCGGGATCGGAGTCGTAGGAGTCGGCCGTGTTAGCATTATTTCCTTGAATGGTCGTCGTATTCATCGAGATTGCCGTCACAATCGTCGTCGTAGCCGTCATCGTCGTAGTTATAGATCGTGTGCGTCTGTATGATCATCGCATTCTGCACGCTTGTATTTCGATTTCTTGAGACAGAAGATTTGTTGAGGATAGAAGAAGGAGTGCATAAACATAATTTCTCGGAGCTCCTCGAAAATTGCTGGGAATGGCGCTGGGCCCCCCCTCGGCGGCGCCTCCGGCGCCACCAGGGAGGGGGCTTCAGTGCAGATCCATACAATGTTTGTGCAGTTATTTGGTTCCTCCAGGGCGTTTCTTTTTTTCCACTTCTACTTGACGTTCGGCGCGCGAGCTCCTTTCATGCCATCTGCTTGGCGTTCTGCGCTCCTCAACACGAGGCGTGGTGCTCGCAAGCGCATTGTAGTGCTCGTGAACGCTTCCATTGACCATTACTTTCGCTATCACCAGACCTACTGCGATTATTCGTAGTATTGCCACCACTAATACTACGAGTGCGAATGCTCTTCTTCTTCTTCTTCTTCTTGTTCTTCTTCTTATTCGTAAGGGCTTCGCCCCCTGCCGCCGGCCCCCTCTCTCGGATAATGGGCAATGTAAGAGCGAAATCATGAGGCCTTGGCGCCGCCGTGAAGCAGCGTCAGAAATTCACGCGAAGACGATGAGTAATCGGCAAGACAAATTGGGATTCTGATGATATTGTTGAATTCGTTGTTGTATTTCGAGGGTTTGTGGCTTCGGATACGCGAATGGCGCATAATTTACAAGGGTTTATGGCTGCGGGCTCGCACATATAACGTAAAGTACGCAGGTTTATGGCTTCGGAGACGCGAACCTGTGTAATTTCCGAGGGTGGATGGCTTCGGACGCGCGATTAAAGTTTAATTTGCAAGGGTTTATGGCTTCGGGGTCGCAAATCTGGCGCCATTTACGCACGTTTATGGCTTCGGAGACGCGAAT